CCCGCTGTGCTATCTCTCCAGCCCCTCTACTTACTAAATTCTTTCTCACAATAATTTATTTTGTTTGCTATATTTCAGCTCTTTCTAAAATCTGTAATTATCTTTTTTTCCCTTTGGCTTGTTTATCTGTCCATAAAAAGGTAATTTTAAAAAATACTTTATTTTTGAATCACTGTGAGATAGACCCTTACAAAACTGTTCATGATTAGGTTTCAGTCATACAATGTTCCAACACCCATCCCTCCACCAGTGTACATTTCCAGCACCAGTGTCCCCAGGTTCCCTCCCATCACTATCCCCTTCCCAGTCTGCCGCTAAGGTAGGCACCTCTCTCTCTCTCTCTCTCTCTCTCTCTCTCTCTCTCTCTCTCTCTCTCTCTCTCTCTCTCTCTCTCTTCCCTCTCCTCCCCACTTCTTCCTTTTTGGGCATTGTTGTTTGAAATACAGATACTGAAAAGTTATCCAGCATATTCCTTTACCACTTGTTAAACTCAGTTCTTGTCCAGCTATTGCTGTCATCCTGGTCCCTTCTCTATCTTCCCTACCCTCTGCCTTACACACGTGTGGTTGATTCCAACCATTGACCAGTTCTCCTAGTTCCAAGCTCCTTCTATTTTTTTTTTTTAATTTTTATTAGTGAAACACCATGAGGTACAGTTGTAGACTTACAAATTTTTGTGCTTGGGTTTCAATTATACAATGATCAAATACCCATCCCTCCACCAGTGCCCATTTTCCACCACCACGGGTCCCAGTATCCCTCCCACCCCCCATCCCCCCTATCCCCCCCTGCCTCTGTGACAGGGCATTTCCTTTTGTTCTCTTTCTTCTTTTTGGGTGTTACGGTTCGCAAAAGAGGCACTGAGTGGCAATCATGTTTGGTCTATAGTCTACTTTCAGCATGCTTCTCTCAACCTGGGAGGATCCTCCCAACACCCTTTATTTGGTGCTCCCTTCTCTATCTGAGCTCCCTTTTTCCCTAGCATGTGTGGCTGGCCTCCAAGTCATGGAGCAAAGCTCCTGGTACTAATCTTGGCCACTCTTGGGTATTAGTCTCCTATTTTGTTACTTTATGTTTCCCAGATGAATGCAATCTTTCTATGTCTATCCCTCTTTTTCTGACTCATTTCGCATAACATGCCAAGCTCCTTCTTAACATTTGTGTTTTCACTGGCCTCTATTTGTAATTTTTATAAGAAACCTCCTCACCCCTCCCCTTTTTTTTTTTCTTTTAGGATCATACCCGGCAATGCACAGGGGTTACTCCTGGCTCTGCCCTCAGGAATTACCCCCGGAGGTGCTCAGGGGACCATATAGGATGCTGGGAATCAAACCCGTATTAGCCACATGCAAGGCAAACACCCTACCCGCTGTGCTATCATTCCAGCACCAAAACTCCCCTTTTCCATAGTGATTAGGACAACTTTTTACAGTCCCATCAATGCAAAAGTATTCCTATTTCGCCATTTTTCTCATCAGCACTCATTTCTTGTTTACTTGATATCACCTGCTAACTATTCTAAATGAAAGAGATTTTGTGGTTTTGATTTATATTTTCCTTATTAGTGATGCTGAACATTATTTTATGCACATATTAGATATCATTAAGCTTTCTTGGGGAAAATGTCTATTTATATCCTTTGTCCATTATATAATTAGATGATTTTTCTTTTTTTGGCTTCTGAGTTAAATTAGTTCATTAAATAATTTGGGTATTAGCCCCTCATTAGACATAGGCTTGCCACGTGTTTTCTCTCATTAAGTTAGATTGTCCTTTCATTTTGTTTATGGTTTCCTTCTGGTCTTATTTTTTTAACAACCGAAAAAGAAAAAAGTGATATGAACTAGGCTTCTGTCCCTTTCCCCAGTTTTTAAAAAAAGTATCACTATTAGGGGCTGGAGCTAATGATAGTGGGTAGAGCACCTGCCTTTCATGCAGCTGACCTAGGTTTGATCCCTGACACACCATATGATCCCCGAGCACTGCAAGGAGTGAGCCCTGAGCATAGTTGAGTGTGGTCTAAAACCCAGTCTCCCCTGCCCCCATCTAAGGTATCACCATTAATAAACTTAATTTCAGTGTTTTAATTTTTAAAAATAACTTTATTGTCATTAGTTTAGCTACATTCAATATTCCAATATCAATCCCCATCACCATTGCACTTTTCTAATACCATTATTTCTAATTTTCCAACCATCCCTTGAGCTTGTCCCATTAGCAGGTCCTCAATTTATTTTACATTGTTATAATTTGCTAAAAGGATAATCAAAAAATGTTTCCTTAGAAGAAAGTTAGTGAAGATTTTTGTATCTCACCATGGAGTCCTTAAGCCCTTGTGTAAGAGATTACTAAAATATTGTTACAGGTTAAACCTTCTGTGTTTACATTTTGTTAATTGAGATTGGTTGCTTTTTACATTACATCCCAACCCATCTGGTTTGCTGCCCATGGTTTATCAGTGTTTAGAGTTTGAGATGAGGCGTGGCCAAAACCGTGGGCTGCACTCCAGGGTGTACAAAATTAACAGGGTGATATAGTTGGAGTTACATTCTTAACTGAATGGTGGCTTTGGAAGGTATGTGTAACTATTGGGCTTCCAGTGGCAACAGGGAGATGGGTTGTGGTAGCCCATCAGTGACCTTGTGAAAGCTGAAGATTTCAGTCACAAAACCTGCATAACTGAGTGTTTCAACAAATTAATTTCTGGATGAGACTCATCTGAGCAGTGGGGTCTGGCTGGGAGCATAGCAGTGGTTGTGGAGTGTGGAGGTTTTCTGCTGCCAGAGTTCTGTTTGGGTGGGAAGTAGGCTCACCTGCCCCACTCTGGGTGCCTCAGGATGAGTCAGCCTTGTGCAGGATTGGGGATAATTCTGCAACTTGTAGATCTTTTTTGAGATTTATTTTTGAGTCTCTGGATCATGACAGGTGAAAAAACTTACATGGCGCCAAAAGTGCCCCATTCATTCTTGTATTTTTTAATTTTTGGGCCACACCCAGCGATGCTCAGGAGTTACTCCTGGCTCTGCACTCTGAAATTACTCTTGGCGGTGCTTGGGGGGACCATATGGGATCAAACCTGGGTTGGCCATGTGCAAGGCAAATGCCCTAACCTCTGTACTATTGCTCTGGCCCTCAACATTCTTATATTAAATTCTGTGCCCATCTTCAAATAGAAGACTCATCAAAATCTTGCATTTGTTCACATTTTGAAAGAAAATCCAAATCAATAATTCCTGACAATTCCATCAGAACCAACTGCTCCTCCTCATCCATGGTGCTAGTCTCCCTCAAAATGTTTGTTTTCAATCTTCTTCCCCTCAGTTCTGAAAGTTTTTTTCTTTTCTATTTAATGGGTGGTGGTGGTGGTGGTGGTGGTTCAGATTTAAACAACACTTGAGTAGTCATTTTTTAAATATATTTTTGTTTTTTTGGGTCATGCCTGATGGTGTTCAGGGCTTACTCCTTGCTTTGTGTTCAAAGATCCCTCCTGGGAGGACTCACGGGACTATATATGGTGACGTTTTCTGAACCTAGTTCCCACTTGCAGATACCTTATCAGATGTATCTCTCTGACTCTTGTTTACTTTTATGCCAGAAATTGTGACTGATGCTATTATTTACTTTCATAACACCATAATTGACTGAGTTGCTCGTACAACAGTAGTTTCAGGCATTAAATGTTCCAACACCAATCCCACCATCAGTGTGACCTTCCATCCGCCAAGATCCCATTTTCCACCCACCACTTCTGCCTGCCCACGTGGCAGGCACAAAAATTTGTCTTCCTATTGTTCATTACAAAATAAAGGCAGACGAAATGTTCAAAACTGAGATCAATAAAAGTTAAATTGTTTTAATTATTACACCTTACAATGGTGTTACTGAAGTCGTCTGAGAATTTGATTGACTGGACTAGCTGGTGCTAGCTGAGTCTTCTATGTTGTTTTCACTCACTGAGCTTGGTGGGCTTCTGTGAAATTTTCCCATCAGATTTACTGTGATCCTACTGGGCTGATAGTGTTGTGAAATTTGTAGGTGTTGCATGGCCAAATATGTAATTACTTGGTTCAGGGCCTATGAAGCTGGAACAACTTGGTGGCTTAGCAACTTTATGAGGTTCAGTTGTGGAGCTGGGCCAGTTCTATGTCAGAGGATATTGGGTGTGGCTGCAGGTTGCTATGTCTTCAGCAGGAGCAATCTGCCCACCTCCATTCCTAGAGGGCCCAAGAATTGTCATCCTGGACCAGTCTACCTGGAAAGATTTGATGGAATCATAAATCATGTTTTTTTCAAGATTAACTGTGGAGCTGGCAATTTCTCTGCCAGCAAGATGGATACTCTATATTTAGTCATAAAAATGAAATTAATTCTGAGGCCACTATGTTAAATTAAGTCAGAGAAAGAAAAATATGACAGGTCCCACTTATATGTGAAATTGAAAATACCCAAATCATAGGAATATCAGCATGGTATTTGTTATGGGTGACGGATGAGAGGAATGAAGAGGATGAATGGATGAACTATAACATATAGACTATAACAATAGTGCATTACACACTTAAAAACAGATTAAATATGAAATGTAATCACACATAAAAAAGATAATTATCTGAGGTGATGAATTCATGAAGATGTGAATTAATTTTGCTGTGGCTATCATTTTGCAATGTATAAAACTAACTTAAATTTATATTTTATATCAGTAATATGTCAATATAGGTGGATAAGAATATGATGTTGATTGCTAAATGCTATAAATGGGTTCTTCACAAAGTAATAAATTTACAAATTAAAAAATGTTATTAGGTTCCATTGTTATAATTTAAGTTTGAACTTCATCAGTCAATGCTTTTATAATCGATTACCAAACTAATAAAAAATATCGCCTACCTTTTTGAAAAATAAATCATTCATTTGCATGTTACTATATACTCTAAAATTTAAATATTCATTTCAAGGTAAAGCCTCTCATTTTCTTTCAATTTTACTTTTGTTTCCAGGTTTTGCAAATCGTTTTTCAAAACCCAAAGGACCAAGAAACCCACCCCCAAGTTGGAATATTTAAGGCAATTTGGAATATGACTGCAAATCATCTGTGAACATCTAGAATTCTGCTAAAATGTGAAAACTATACTCATAACATCAGCAATAAACATATGCTAATGTGCTAATGGTTTTTTTTTTTAAAAATTCACCGTACAGATTAATGCTCAAGTTTTTACATTTTCACCTAATTTTCATTAGGCTGCAAACTGAAAATAAAATTCTATCACTTCAGTTTATGTAGAGAATCTTGTATGGAAAAAAATTTTCAGGTGGACCAATTTTTCATTTTTGGATTTTATTGTGCTTTTTTAAATTTTGCTTTTGGGTCCTAGGCAGTGATGCTCAGGGGTTACTCCTGGCTTTGCACTCAGAAATTACTTCTGTGGGGCTCAGGGGACCATATGGGATGCTGGAAATTGAACCCGGGTCTGCTGTATTCAAGGCACGTGCTACTGCTCCTGCCCCTCATTTTTCGTTTTGGAAATGGAATAAAAAATTTTGTTTTTCTGTCAGTGCTCAGGGTTAACTCCTGGCAGGGCTTGAGGTTCAGCTCATGCAAGGCAAGCTCCCTACCAACTATACTATATCTCTCAGGCCCCTGAAATAAATTTTTATCCTAAATTCCTCCAGACACACAGACTTTAAAAAGAATTTGGAAAAACTGGATACCAATGTCTCCCTTGCTAGAATTTACTCTTAAAAATGGGTTAAAAAATCTTAGCTTGTAATTGTAGTACAAGATTACTGCTTTTGATAATGACATTTCCCCTCCAGTTTTTTTTTTCCTAGAAGATTGTATCTTGTCTGGTTCCCCAAAGGTTGTGGGAAACTAGCGTTGACAAATGAACATTTTAGAGTATGTAAAGAGTAAATCTTATTATTTTTTTATTTGTATATACCAACGAACAAGGTTTCCAACTACATTCCTGAGAAATGTTGGTTTTATTTTGTGTTTACTCTTTGTTTTTGGCCAACCCTGGCGGTGATGAGGGCTTGTCTTTGCTCAGCACTCAGGAATCACTTCGGGTGGGAGACCGTGCTGGGGATGGAACCTTGGTAACTCGCATGCAAAGAGCCCAATTGGCTATCTTATCGTGCTAGTCTAGACACTGCTGAGAAGTTTAAACCAATTATTCAATTGCCCATTCTGGAATAATGGGTTAGAGAGAACGCAATGGGCTGGGGCAGGAGCTTGGCAAGCAGTAAAGGCAGGTACCCGAGCACTATGCTGGGGAGCAGCCTTCAGCACCTCTGGGTGTGGTCCCCAAATTCCAAAATCCACGAACATGGGTTTATCTTAAGAAAAACCTGATTATTTCAAGTCAAGTTTTCCGTGATAAATGCCAGTGCATAATTACTATAAAAGAATTGCTACAAAGGAGTTCCTTAAGTTCCACTAACGACGATTTGTAAAAGTCGTCACACACACACATACACACACACACACACACACAAAACATTTGTTTCATATTTTTTATCAGGAAGCCTATGATAGGGCAAACTGAATGCAATGTTTATTGTATTTCATATACATGGTAGGTGCTCAATAACACTTCCTGTTTCCCACTGCGGTCCATTCCGCCCGACGCCTCCCGCGCATCGCGATCTTCCCGAGTTCTCCACTGCAGTCCGTGATGCCCAAGGCTTCTCCTAGGGCGCAAAAGCGCCCGCGGCGTGGGTGACTCTGAGCGGGAAGAAGGGAGTGGCCACCTCGGGGCTCGAGACACGCGTCGGGAGCCTCTACCCGATACTTACCATTCGACCAAAAAGTCGGCATACTTCGCAAGCCAGGCTGGCCGCCCACCATCTCTCCGCGGTGCTTCGGCTTCCGGGCGGCTGAGGCGGGCGGCGCCGTCACCATAGCAACGGCCGGAGCGCGGACCGAGTAGCAGCGCCCCCCCTCCCCCACCAGCCGCCCCGACCCTCTGCACGGCCTCGCGCGCTTCATCCCCAGCGTTCCGGACGCGTCCGCGGCGGCGAGGCGAGGCTGGGGAGCCTCTGACCTCACAAAGGGGGCGAGGGCACGCGCGCTCTTCTCTTCCAAGTAGCCATGGAGACGGCGGGCTCCGGGTAAACTGACGGCGGGCCCGAGCGAGCCGCGGCCGGAGCGCGCCCACACGGCGCCCGGAAGCCCTCGACATTGTCCGGGCCGTTAGGGCGGTTGGCGGCAACTCTCCGCCCTGCGGCCGTTGCGTCTCCGCCCGCGCGTGCCGCGGCGCACGCGCGCTGCACTTCGGCGGCCCCGGCGCGCGCGAACTACGGCTCCCGGGAGGCCTTGCGCGGCGCGGCCTGCGGACTGGCGCAGCCACAGCCGCTTCCGGCATGCTCGGCTCTGGACGCAGAAGCGCCGCGGAGTGGAGGAACGCGGTGGAGGCCGAGAGACTCCAATGCCCAGCGGGCCGTGCGCGGGTGGCGCTTGCGCGCTGCGCCGACGGGGGGGCGGTCGGGCCATTTAAATGTGTGTTTGTGGGTGAAATGGCTGCGCAGGTCGGAGCGGTGCGCGTCGTGCGGGCGGTGGCGGCGCAGGAGGAGCCGGACAAAGAGGGCAAGGAGAAGCCCCACGCGGGGGTCTCGCCGCGGGGCGTGAAGCGGCAGCGCCGAGCGAGCAGCGGGGGGTCCCAGGAGAAGCGGGGGCGGCCCAGCCAGGACCCCCCGCTCGTCCCGCACCGGCGGCGCCGCAGCCGCCAGCCGCCCGGGCCGCCGCCGCCGCCGCCGCCGTCGGCCGCCGCCAGCCTTCCGGGCCCGGGGGAGCCGCTCCTGCTGCCGCCGCCGCCGCCGCCGTCCGCGCCCGCGCCCGCGCCCGTGGCCGCCCCGCTGCCGGCGCCGGGCGCCGCGGCCCTCTTCACCTTCTCGCCGCTGACGGTGAGCGCGGCCGGGCCCAAGCCCAAGGGCCACAAGGAGCGGCACCGGCACCACCACCACCGCGCCGCCGAGCCTGAGCCCGGCGCGGGGCACCAGGACCAGCAGGAGAATGGCGAGCGGGCCGCCGGGGCGCCCCCGACCAAGGCCCCCAAGAGAGGTGAGGGCGGCGGGGCCCGGCCCGCATCCCGCCCCTTCCCCGCAGCGCCGCCCCCTCGCCGCTCCTGCAGCTGCCGGGCCGGACGGGCCGCGGCTCGGGTCGCGGCCACCGGCTGACCTACTTGAGGCTCCTCGCCGCAGGCCGAGCTGTCAGTGCCCACCCTGCCCGCGCCCGAACCCCGGCCGACGTTGTTTGCAAACCGGGCCACAGCCCCGGCGTGAGTCCTGCCGGAGGTTGGAAACTGCCTTCCGACCGGGAGATGTTCTCGCTCCCAGTTGCCCTGGGTGGGAAGCGTTTCACGCGCTTTTGCCTCCTCTGCGCCCCAAATTGTCCTGGGTATCGCAATGTCATAAATGCCAGGGCTTTTGGAACAGTTTGAATTTTTAATGGAGGTTCCTCCGTGCGTTACTTTGCCTTCTTCATAGCTCCTTTAAAAAAAAAGCTGGATGGAGGGAAAATGATTGTATTTTCATATTTAAATCTCAGTGACCAGAAAAGGGATTAGGGAGGTGGTGGAGGGAGGCTTTCTTTACTGTAGGTAATTATTGGATCCACTTGGCCTCTGAAAAGTGAGAAGCGTGCTGCAGGAGGTAGTAGATGGGAATTCCATTTACATTTGATTCTGTCTTGCGCAACAAGATTGAGAATTGATTTAATTCCCAGGACCCCCACTAAAATCAAGAATATCCAACCATAAAACATAGGATTACCTAATTAAGTGTGGGCTCCAGGGAAATTAGGTTAGCCAAAACTGGTGACTTGCTACTCCCAGTATTTATCATTTGTTTATATTTGCCGTAGGATAGCTTGGATTGACATATTTGTATTTTGTATATGATTCTACGTTCTTTGTAGAATCTTAAGAGTTTAATATACTACTGTTTCCTAGTAGGAGATTAATTAGATTACTACATGAATTAACTAGTCTTTTGATAGGACTTCTTTTGATAGGATTCCTTCCACATACTTGGTTTGGTTTTAACTTAGGGCTAATCTTATCTTTTCCTTTCAGTGCAGTTTGTTGCAAATTATTGCCTAATGAGTGTTTATTGAATTGAATTAACTATGTCTTTGGTAGTATCCCATCTTCTCAGCCTTAGAACTTTTGCCAGACAGACAGGAAAACTAGTTTCCACCAGCAGTTTGCCAGGTCTTGCTCTCATACTTTTACCTTTTTTCATCGTTGTGTGTGTAGTGTGTTTTGAAGGATGGGGACAGCCCGTGCCCAGCTGTGCTCAGCCACACCTTGCTCTTTGCCGGCTATTTCTCCCACCATTGCTCCTGGGGACCATATGCTGTGCCCTATTGGAGCTCTGCATCCTATGTGCAGAGAATGCACCCAGCCCATTGAGCTGTCTCTCTATCCTGTGTGGATTAAGTTCACAGAGCTAGATGAAATTTTAGACATCAGCCAGTTTAAAGTTGTGTTGCACAAGTGAAAACCGAGGCCCAAAGAAGTGGAGATACTTAAGTTACAATTTATTAGTACTAAGTACACATTAAAGAAAAATTAAATGGATTTTTGGTGTAATAGATAAATACAGTCTCTATTTTTACAGGTCTACTAAGTTTTACTTCAGACTTTATCCCTACTCCTGTCCCACTTCACGTTGCTCTAGTTTTGGTATGTTTTCCACTTCTTTGCTTACCTTTTCCTTACGTTTTGGTGCTAGAGTAGTTGCAGTAGCCAACTCCATTAAGAATTTTTTCTTCTTGAGGGGGACTTTGGGGTACACTGACCCGGCTGTGCTCAGGGCTAATTCCTGGCTCTGTTTAGGGATCAGTCTGGCAGGCTTGGGGGACCATATGGGGTGCTGGGAATTGAACTTGGGTCAGCCATGTGTGTGGCAAGCACCCAGCCCTCAGTATTATCTCCCCAGCCCCTAAAATTTTCTGACTCATTTCTGACCCATTCCCCTTTTTTGAGCCAGAAATTACAATACAGTGTGCAGTAGTGGTTCACAAGGTGTTTTTCTGAAGATTGCATAGTTCTTAAGTTCTCTAAAAAAAAAAAAAAAAGAAAAGAAAGCTTTTACCCGGGACTGTGAACACAGCTTTCTGTGATGATGGAAATGTGGCTAATGTGACTGAGAATGAATAGTTGCTTTGGCCAGTCAGTATCTCCTTGGACAGCACAGCTTAAAGTTTTTGAAGTTTGTTAATATGTGAATAGAAGTGGTTTAATCTAGGCAATCTTGAATCTTAGTATTTGGAAGTGGAAGGGCTCCCTGCCCAAATACATTAAGGAAAAACTGTGCTGTAGACTTTAGGTACATGACACATTGACATTTTAAGTTTTGGAAACCCTCCAAAATGCAAACTGATTTAACCTTATTTTGTTTCCTCTGTTTTTGGACATAACTCCGATCCTTCTCTCTCTCTTAGCATCATTATCCTTGTCAGTGGTACGCAGGAGGCATACTTGTGGCTCTGCTGTAAGCTAAAGACTCGAACCTTCAGCTTCAGTTTTCCTGCCTGTAAAAGGGAGTTGTGATATTTATTTTTTGTAAGACTGCTGTGGGGGTTAAGTGGGGACGTAATGCAGAAGGAGCTTAGCACAGTTTCTGACAGAGTTGGCACTGTTAAAACTGCCTTTTGTTGCCTTATTATGTTGTTCCTTGAAAAAGCTCTAAGACAGTTGAGGAGAGTGACTAGATCTTGTTATTTACAGAGGTTTGTCTTTCCTTCCCTTGTCCACGGATTTTCAAAATAATTATATATTCATAGGAAATGATGAAGACAATGCAGAGAGGTTCTTACCTTTCACTTGCTTCCCAGACTGGTTACATCTTACATAACAACTGTATAATATCAACACCAGGAAATTGGCGTTGGTACAATGTGTATATGTAGTTTGGTGCCATTTAATCACTTATAGATTATTTTAACTCCCACTGCAATCCAAATACATGGCATTCTTTCACCACAAAGGTCCCCTTCTGCTATCCCTTATACTTTTAGACACCTGCTGTCTCCCTACATCCTTAACAGCTATATAATGTAATGCAGTATGAAATCTTTTAAATGTGACACTTTCACTCTAATGTCCTTGAAATTCAGTTAATTTTTATATATCAATAGCGCACTCCTTTTTATTGCTAAGTAATATTCTGTGATATGATTGGTACATTTTAGGCATTTGCCTATTAAAATGGCTAAAATGGTTACTTTTAGCCATTGGTTGATTACATTTTGCCTATTAGGAATAAAGCTATAAATATTCATATCAGGTTTTTGTGCGGATATATATTTTCAGTTTGTTTTGTTTTGGGGCCACAGCTAATGGTGCTCAGCGCTTACTCCTGACTACCCAGGAATCACTCCTGCCTGTTGTTGCTCAGGGGGACCATATGAACCATATGGGGTGTTGGGGATTAAACCCACATTGGCCATATGCAAGGCACTACCCACTGTACTAACCCTCTGGCCCCCATTTTCATTTTCTTTTGAAATGTAATTGCTGGGTCATTTAAGTGCATATTTAATTTTTTCTTAAAAGGTATTGCTGTGCTGTTTTCTAGAATATTTGTCCCCTTGTTGCTTATCTATCAGTCGTGTGTGAGACCCATTCTCTACCTGTCCTTGTCAGTATGTGGTGTTACTGCTATTTTAATTTTAGCTGTTTTAATAGATGGGTCATGCTATTTCATCATGGACTTACTTTACATTTTCCCAATGGCTTATAATACTGAAATCTTTTATTTGCTATTCTTATAGCTGCATTTACAAAATATCTATCTTTTGTCCATTTTCTAGTTAAGCTTTTTTACTCGAGCATTTTTTTTTTCCTTTTTGGGTCACACCCAGCGATGCGCAGGGGTTACTCCTGGCTCATGCACTCACGCTCGGGGGACCATATGGGGTGCTGGGAATCAAATCTGGGTTGGTCATGTTGGCTGCGTGCAAGGCAAACGCCCTACCCGCTGTGCTATCGCTCCAGCCCCTACTCGAGCATTTTTATACTTTATATATTATAGAGTTATGTCCCTTGTTAGATATATGGTTTAGAAATATTTTTTTCCACTCCATTATTATCTTTTCTGTCCTCTTAAATGCATAGGGTCTTTCTCACAGCAAAAGTTTTAAATTTTGCTTAAATACAATATTTTTTTAATGGTTCCTGCGTTTGGTGTTGTTTCTAAGGTCTCAAGACCAAATGATTTTTTCTTTTTTTCTTAATAGGTTTCAGTTTTAACACTTGTGTATCATCCATTTGCGTTAATCTTGTGAAAGATTTATTTGTTGAGGTTCTTTTTTTGAGACCTTTGGGGCGGGGTGGGGGACACGACTATTCTTCTCCTAAGATTGTAAATTGTTTTTGCATCTTTATAAAAACTCAATTTCACTAATTTTGTAGCACCCATGAGGTAAGATTGGTGTATAAATTTTGAAAGAAAAAAAAAACCCGAAACAAAAATGAACTTGCCATGTGAAATCATATCAAACAGTGTTCCCATAAACTTTTTGTAGCGTACTGCTGCTTATTCAAATGTATGATCTCTTTCTACTCAGCAACTGAGATAGAGACCTTATGTCCTGCAAAGGTCATTAGATAGCTCTCTTTACGAAGAAGTTTGCGGATTCCTGAGATAGTATGTTCCCACATACCAGCTCTAGATTGTGCAGTTTAAATTTGTGCATAGGTAACCACAACTTAGAAATTAGTAAGAGAGAAAGTGAATCTAGGGCCCAGTACTTTTGGCTTAGTGATCCACTTGTCTTTTATTTCTTATGGAACACATTTGACTTTTTTTATTCTAAAATTATTGCTACTTTAAGTTTATTGAAGGAAAGGACTACTTTGCTAACAGAGCTTTATAAGTAAACTTTTTCAAGCCCTTCCTTAAACTAAGTAAAAAATTACAAATAGTCTCTCCCTAAAAACTTCTAAGGTATGAAAAATAATTATATGTTAAATTGTTACACATTTGAATTGTTAATAGAGATATTAAAATTTTTTAAATACATATATCAGTTCCTGAGTCTAAACTGACAGTTGC